ATTGTGTAATACATTTGCTAATATTAAGCCGAGAGGAACCAGGGTTCGTGAGAAAACAGCGAATCTGCCAATTGAATAATTGTGATCGACATGATACCATGTGATACCTAATAAATCGATTATAATTTTGCAAACCGTCAGACCTCCGGTTACTCTAATAAAATACAAAGTTTCGACATGCAGTCCACGACACTTTTTATTTCTACTATTCCTATACTGAGGGAGAATTTCGCAATGAAATAATTTAAATGTAGTCACAAGTTTTCACAACAAATTTTGCATTTTTTTCCGCAATGCAATTAGAATAAATTTAATATCTTTCAGTACCTAAATAAATACCAACCTTAAAAGATTCGACAATGGGATGAAACATAGGCAATTTACAATGCGAAGAAAATATTTGCAACTTGTTTACAGTAGTATTACGCTTGTCAGCAAGCGAAGCCCCTTCAATTAGTAAATAGGCAACTTACACAACATTCTGATGCGTCTCACCGTGTATTTGCAATTTATTGCAGCCTGTTTTACTTGGGTGAGAAGTCTGCCTAATTTGACTTAGCGTGAGCCGTATTTAAAGGCCTTGATGTAAGTGCGGTTTAATCTTACAGGGATTTTCATCTGCATTTAATGCTCAGGTGAAAAATGGAGATGTTGCATGTGTGAGGGATTTGCGATTTGACCATTGATTCTTATGTAAAAGTTCGCGAGAAACACGATGATGCCACTGGTTTTCTCTAAAATCATCTCCCAAGCTCACAAAAAGCTCTCTAAGTGAGGCCAAAATGGGGGGATATCCAACCCCTATCCCCCACCCAGGGGACAGGGCTGCCACTTTATTTGGGGACTCCAAAACTGAAAACACGGCAACCCTGCTAATGTATTTGCTGCCTATCTTTGCATGGAGAGTTTGTTTTGATGTAGAGGTGGACTCTCAAGGGTAGGGTGGGATATCCCCTCCATTTTGGCCTCACTTTGAGAGATTTTTTTGAGCTTGGGAGATTATTTCAGAGAAAACCAGTGGTACCATCCTGTTTCTCGCGAATTTTTACATAAGAATCAATAGTCAAATCGCAAATTCCTCACACATGCAACATCTCCATTGGGACTGACCTCACCAAAGCGTTACGCAGGGGACTAGGGGTCAAAAAATCCAGAATTCAGCTTTACGTACTTCATGAACGGCTCTCAATTTAAGGATTTTATTTCTTACGCTGTCTTGTGGCCTACTACTGCTTAACATATCTGCCATCATAGATTTAATATTGAATGGAGCGGTTATGGATTATAACGTTCAAGAATGAGTGCATTAGAGCTACAAGTAACAAGTCCTTCGCTCTGAATAAACGACAATGTATGTAGAGAGTCAAATATCTATTTTTAGGCATGAACTCAGAGTCCTCACTGCATACTGATGCACAAAAAAGGATAGCAGTTTATTTATGTAGCTACATCAGTTAGGCAATAAACATTGAAAGGCATTGTTAGAAGCTATCAACTACTTGTAGATCCTACATATTACTGAAACTGCATGAATTGTCTCAAACAGTATATAAAACAGTATATAACTGACAGATGCTCTTCATTTCTCTAGATAAATTAGTGTTACGTTGAAAAAGTAAAAAAAGAAAACAAGTATTTTCCAGCCATTTCATCTACCTACCTACTAAAGTGATGTAGTATGTAAATCTTTTTTTTTTTTTTTTTAATACATTTCCAAAATACATTCCAACTTAGTGCCTTCTACTTGAGTGAGCAATTAAACAAACCCGTACATACTTCAGTATCTTTACGTCTGTATATAAATGTACCTATTGTTCGACAAAATATGAGGTCATCCACGAGATGAATATCACGAGAGATTCTTATTGGAGTGATTTTGGCGGCAACTCAACCATTCAAGGTGGGGAATTGTATTGAAAAATGAATATTTTAATTTATTTTCACTTACCTGTTAAATTTCCTTTTGCTCGCTCTCTTCCAAGCTTTTCTCAAATCATCAATTTCCGAAAATTCTCAACTAAAAAAAGTAGTTTTTCTCGTACAGGAATCATAGTCTTCACTCACAAAAAACCAAAGTCTTTTTGAGTCAAATCAAAAATTAAACTAATCTCTATTTGTTCACGATGAAATTATTATTTTTAGTATGCTTTTAGGCAGGTTTACAAGTTTTTGTAACTTGGCGGAGGGAAACACTTTTTTACAGCAAACACTGGTTATTTACCGGACGGGAAAGTTCGTTTTCAATAGCTGCTTCAATCTGCGCTGATTAAAAGGGGGTATCCCGAGCAGACAGTGACTATTAATTATAATGTCTTGTAAAATTGTCATCATACTTCTCTTTTAATATTTTTTTTTACTCCTTGTTGTTATCAAAGACTTCTTTTGTGCATCGATTGATTCTACTTTAAACTGCAAACGTATTCTGCGTGGATTTGATGCGAGGATTAACGTCTTGAAGACATTTAATCCATACCCTGTCAAAAGGTCTACTACATACTAATATAAACTGCACTAGTGTAGTACTGCAATAAATCCAGTTATCAAATGTTTAGTGCATCTTCATTGTACCTTCATATCATTTATATCATTTGCAGACTGCAGTGTCTAACTCGATCACAACTTTGTTACTAATGGACTTCATCAGCTTTTGTTGAAATTATCCCAAAGTTTGTCTTAATATCCATGTAAACAATCTGTTAAAATTTGAAATTTTTTGTTGATACAACGTTGTCGCTTATATTTATTATGATATAGATAGAGTATGAAGGCAGAACGTGCCTTCAAACTTTAAAGAGACTTCCAAGCAGTACAGATATGTTAAAATAGCTGCTTCATAGCATTTGCCTCGAGATTGTTTGCGGCCTCAATTTCGACTAATTTTAAGCTAATTAGATGAGGACATGTGCTTGTGCTGTTTTTTACTAAATATGGAGGAGCTCCTTTAACTTCAAGATATCGACGCACTTTTTATTCATGATATAATAAGGTTTCTCAATAAATGAAAAATTTTTCAAAATAATTTATCTTGAGTAATTATATTGTTATAATTGTAATTATTGTATGGTCCGAGTTAAACAGAATTGCATCAAGTCGTATTCTGGAGAAAATGAGTTACTGCATCATAATTTTCATCTCATTGTGGATTCAATGTCGAGAGAAAGAAAAATCGAGCGTAAAATAGGCTCAAATGTTGTCCTTAATATTGAGCATTACAGATCCAGGAATAAAACGTCAAGCCTTTTTTTTTTNTGGGGGGGGGGGGGCTCAAACTTGATGTGTTTCAGTTAAAGTCGGTCCATAGAAATAAGCAATTACACCAGTATTATTCAGTCTGTTGTACTCAAGTTTCAGTTTCTGTGCTTTTTTTATTTTTCTTATTTTTTAAAATATTTTTTTATATGGTTTCCAGGCATTTTAGCCTCTGTGCTTATTACGTAGATCTGCACGGGAAAAGAAGCCAAAAGCCCAATTCCTATTGTCAGAGAATTTTACCGGTTGAGATCTTTGAGTTTTTTCCCCGCACAGCACTCTCTAAACTGGTTTTTTTTGTACATAATTTTTTTCATGCAGTCAAAGCTAATAATGCTTGATTAGAGGAATGAAAAATATAACACAATATTTAAAACATTACCCTTTCAATTTATTTAAAATAAACATAAAAGATACAGTAATGACTTAAAAAATAAACTTTCTCAAAAATTTTACTTCATTTGTGTTCTCTAACGTTATCATTATTCATTCATAATACTACTGGCAGTGTCAGTTGAAAAATAAATAAAATGTCCTTTAAAGATTTGCTGCTGCAAAGTGAATTTTACTTTAAAACAATCAAATACTCACATTCCGTCGTAACGCGGTTTTCAAAAATGCAGTGAGGAACTATACTGTGGTCCTAACATTTTTAAATTGTACACCTACCTACAGTTATACTTCATTCTAGATATTCCACGTTAATACATAATTCACAAATGCAAACAGTGATGAAATATTTTCAAGCGGGTATTTCTGTTTCCACACAGGTTTTGAAAGAGCAGGTCCTGCAGCTGTGTCGATTTTTGTGGAATTGAGCCAAATGATATCCCGATGGTTTGAATATTTAAAAATGTCCCCTTATTTGGATGAAATATACACTTCAATATTTTGTAATGAATTAGTTACATTGTGTTCTATAATCCTAAATTTTGAAGCTGTCAGTTTTTTTTGTTTTTGTTTTTTTTTTTAAAGAAAGAATTATAAATTCTAAATAATTATTTTCATTTTTCGAATTTAGATACAAAACTCTTAGGGTTGGACGAAAAGAGGAACAAATATACGGAGAAAGTTAAAAATGTAACGATTAAAAATGGTAAAGCCTTTCGAGACTTAACAAAACAGGGACCATCGTGCAAAAATTAAATATGATAAGCTGACATCGAAAATATATGTATCGAAAAAAAGAAGATCGAAAAACTCATTTATCTTGAGATTTCAGATTTGACCTGCTACAAAACGATAGTTAAAGTGAATTACTTGATACGCATCTTACACAAATGCATCCAGTTTGCTCACAAATTGTGCTAAATTGAAAATTACACGTCAATAGAAAGGTCAATGGACAGTATCGATTTCAAATAAATTTTGTAATATTATTTTTTACAGCGGAAGGCAACCGAAGATACAAACGAAAATACAAATAATTCAATGCGGCTTCCTGAGTCTGATTTTCATGGCCTACGTATCAAAAGGAAAAAGTTTTTTATGCAATTCATGTTGATCATTCATTGACAGTAAATTACACTGGGGGAAAAAAAAACACATTGGATCTAGAGTCCAGACTCTTAAAAAAATCGACAAGAAAAATTACTCTTGATCCAATAAGAATCTAGCTTAAATTATGAACTAAGCCTCTTAATTTAAGCGGCTTTCGTTTCGATTCAAGCAAAATTCCGATTGAATCAAGAGTATTTTTTCTTGTCAATGTTTCCAAGAGTCTGGACTCTAGATCCAATGTGCTTTTTTCCAGTGTAAGCGCAGAGAATTTCAGATCCAAGAGAAAAATTACACGTGCATCACTCTGAACAATCGTTTTGGGGAGCAATGTTTGAGGGGGTCGGAATCATCCTGCAGGACCAGCCAGTGTTGAGGAACCGGAAGACAAATCCTCTCTGATTGAGAGGCTAATCTTCCATGGTGGGGATGCATGTCTTCTCAAGAGTTCATCTACTCGTCTGGGTCTCGTTGTGGGTCCAGCGCGTCGCTACATGGGAACCAAACGTCATGGGGGTGGGGTTTTTCGGGGGCTGTGCGTTCGGAGCGCGTTGACGTTGGAGAGGTCAGGCGGCGGCAGGGCCTACGGAGGAGAGGAGGACACCTGTGACGGCTCTCCTGAGCACAGCTTTGAATAGAGTCAGTCTGATTCTGTCACTAGTCTTCATTGTCGCGTTGTCCGCTGCTGGCAGGCAGTACGGGAACGGGAGTGTGCTTATCGCTGGCATATGCCGTGGCGAGCCTGTGAAAAATTTTTCGGCGAGTTCTGCAACAGAAAAATAGAAACAAATGGTGTCAGTCAAAATAAATTGGGAACACCTTCAAGGCTACAAAGGCCTTTTCCAATTTCTCACATCCGAAAGAGTATTTACACATAAAAAAGGTAGGGGTTGTTAAATGATGAGGGCATTTAAAATTAATAATGGCACACTGGAAAAAAAACAAACACATTGGATCTAGAGTCCAGACTCTTAAAAACATCGACAAGAAAAAGTACTCTTGATTCAATCAGAATCTAGCTTAAATCAAGAACCAAGCCTCTTAATTTAAGCGGATTTCGTTTTGATTCAAGCAAAAATCCGACTGAATCAAGAGTATTTTTTCTTGGCAATGTTTTCAAAAGTCTGGACTATAGATACAATGTGTTTTTTTTTCCCAGTGCAATACCCCACTAAATTAGATTACTAACTAAAATTTTGCGGCACTGCCCTAACTTGAGTTGCGATACCAACACAATACTTTGGAAATGTCCATAGTATACAACAAATTGGGGTAGAAACACAATTTTAGGGGGAAACTTCTGACGCTTCTTCTTCCGTGTAACTAGTGTAGCAACTAATGCAACAACTAGTGTACCGATTGGTGTAGAAACTAGTGTTGCTCCGAAAAGCATAATTTTAAAAGGGAATATTCGCTTTAAATGAGATATTTTCCCCTCATTAACGGGCATTTCTGTTCAACATAAACAATCACCATGGTTATGACGTCATGTCAACATATTTGACTCTAAAGAGTATTTGTTCACAACTTTTTGGCTCTGAACATTGCGCGAAATACTCAGATTTTAGGGGTGGAAAATTTGTCATTTCCGAGACCCATCGAGTGCAACCCCTGCGCGATTGTCACGATTTGCGCGCGGAAACGTCAGTCATGTTGAATATTGTGTAGCATCCTAGTGCGCAAGGGTTGGATGGAAATGACTCCTCTTACGAAATGATCACCTTTACCGCAGTATCGTTTTTCAAGCAGGGAGCATTAAAAACGCATATTTCTTAAGCAGATTGTGATACTAATTTTAGACTTTCCCGATGCCCTTATCGTAATTTTTGAGCCATTCTCTCTAAGAAAAACTCTTCTACATGTTCTAACTGAAGTTTGCAATACACCCATTAAAATTTGCAGAAGGAAATCGAACGATTATCAGGAGCGGTCGAGGGGTGAGATCGAGCGATCGATGTCTGCGAGACCCGGTGCCTGTGCAGTATTGTGTTTCAAGCGGACGAGGAGTGCTTCAGAGGCATCTCTGCACAAATGTCAAGGTTAGGGCGGAGGAGACGGAGCGGAAAATTGTGAGTTCAGGCAAGAAAGGAATAAGCACAAAATGAGGGAGAGAAAAAATTGGCCGAGTAAGACAGATAAGAAGCGTGGGCTATTGAACGAAATATTTGTCGGAACCTGACGACTCCGCGACTGAACAATCCGGAATCTGAGCAATTTTATTCGAACGCGACGAAAAAAAACGCAGGAAAAAAAATGGCGACGGAGCGAAAAAGAACGCGGATCGGATAATCCATGTTTCTCACCACGCGACCGGATGCTTCTGCCGTTGATTCCGGCGTCTCGCACCGGAATGGATGGTAATTCCGGCTCCGGGGTGATTAAATGCATTGCTAGATTAGCCGTATAATCAGCTGCTCTGCCGTCCTAAGGAAAAACGCCGTATGAGCATTCAAACGTTGCCAAATTTTCTATAAAAATATTTATTTGTGTAGAAAATTTTAAATATTTAGTCTTGCAATTTTCAGACTGTTTAGATCAAATTTCGAACAAAATCCTCCGGAAACTCGGAAGAGAAATATTCATAAATTTCCCCTAAAATTCGCGATTTGTCAAAGGAAATTTGGCAACTCCTGAGGGCTCATACGGCGTTTTCCCTTACCACGGCAGAGCTGTAAAGCGCAAGTTTAACCCCTCTTTTCATAAACTGATTTCTGCTTTTCGACTTTCAGTTTTTGGCAGGAGAATATATACGGCTAGTAGAACTCAAACACATTCTTATCTCGTTTTTTTTCCCGAAAATGTGGGTTGGTTCCTCTCTGATAAACTCGGTCCCATTAGTCGAAATCTTCATAATTACAATTGGTTATACTTCTAAAAAGAAATTGTCACAAAAACCACGGAAAATCTTTTCAATTTTGAGGAATTGCAACCGAAGAATTAAAGTGAAAAATTATACCCAGCGTTCAGACTGTTCGAGTTGAAAGCTTGGCAGAAACTACATAGAGAACTGCAACGAGCGATCGGTGAGAAAAGTTCCTTCAAATATCAGGATAGGCAAGAAATCGTCCGTTGAGAAAGAGTAGACCATAAGTGAACTCTCTATGTTGCTCGCATTTTCATCGGCCAGTCAACATTCATCAAGTAATTGTAGTCCGCGATCGGTAGATAGAATTATGTAAAAGAATGATTAAGAGTCAGAGAGTTGACTCATGAACTTGACTGAAGACGACAGTCAAATTTTCAACCTCTAGTTTGAATTTGTCCTTTGATCTTCGGCGCTTTACTCATGCTGTCTACCTCCATACAAATAAATTTCAGTTGTACGTCCTTTCGGCCACCCATTGGAATCAGAATAGCGCACATTCCTCGACGCCATAAAAATGCTCCGTTTCATTCGTTTTCGGTTTGGATGAGCATGCTAGTGTTGCCTAATTTATACTAGAGGAAAAGAAGAAACGAACAACTCTTTTGGAATGTAGACCCCCTACAGTACTTTTCATGTCAAAGTGATACGCAACATCGAAAATTCTGTTAAGAATCAACAGCTAACAGTTTTCCAAATGAATATATCTTTCAATACGTCTATATTATATGTATCTTAATGCGTACATCGTGATTTCGTGGCGTTTTACCTCTACTGAAGCATATCCTCACACGCCTAGATCTCTTGAGTGTAAATGACTCATTTAACTGTGCATATTATGTATTTTTGACTTTCCAAATTTCGAATTTTTTTCATTAAATCTCTCCCTTTTTTAGACGAGTTAATCTGCAGATTTAATTCATTCTTTCTTTGCTTTCTTTCCTTATCAGTACATTTCTATTGATATCTATTTTCTGAGGCGTTAATAACCTATGTTTTGTTTAAGTCCCGTGAATACATGTATTAATCAAGTAACGAACCAACCAAAGATTTTTTTCATTTTTAAGGAATCGTCTTCTTGAAGTCGCGGGATATTTTAATCGGACGTGAATTAAAAGGTTTGAAAAAAGTCCTTCAGAGAGTGACGGTTTGAAGCGAAAAACAATTAAGATCAGATCAGAAACTGCCGATCTGCCCTTTGAAAGCGGACCGTTTATGATAGTCCATATGTAAAGCGACCTCGTCTCGTGTCAAATGACGTATTCCTTGCTCCCTTCCCGGTGGAGCGACAGGGGTCTCGGCGGGAAGGCGCGGCGCGGAGGGGTAGTTGTGGGGCGCGCGGATGATGTCCGAGAACCTTGCCCGAGAGTGAAGGCGGCGACAGGCTCTATAAATCTGCATTATCCCCCCCCCCCTTCCCTCTCCCCCGCATTTTTTTTAGCGCAATGATTCTTTATACACGCGACGCATAGTGGCATGGACGAGCCATTGCTCACTCCGAAATGATTTCGTCGGTGGATAATACCTGTCTACTCTGAGTCGCGGTTGGCGGGGGATGGGGGTGGTGGTGGGGACCCTAGGGGTGGAGGAGGGTTCCTTTTCGTCTCGTCGCAGGCCCGCCGCGCTCACTCCCGCAGACACAATGCTGCCAAACTAGAATCCCCGAGGGCTCGCACGGTCCGAATTTCGCCTGGATTTTCTTCAGTCTCAAGAGGAAAAGAGGGGGAACCTTCGGATGGTCAAGAACTGCCAAAAGATTAGAAAGCGAAGTCGTAGATACGCGGCATTTGAGATGCAATTCCAAGGTGCAGTTTACCGGATGACCTCTGTCCTGATAGACAAAGATGTCGATAAGGTGTCGCAGAGCGCTCGGGTGCGCTTTGCATATGTATAGAAAACTTGAATAGTTCGCAGAAAACTTTCTAAATTCACTGGGACGCACTGGAAAAAAGTCGCTTGGATCTAGAGTCCAGACTCTTGAAAACACTGACAAGAAAAAATGCTCTTGATTCGATCGGATTTTTGCTTGAATCGAAAGGAAATCCGATTAAATTAAGAGGCTCGGTTCTCGATTTAAACAAAAATCCGATTGAATCAAGAGTATTTTTTCTTGTCAATGTTTTTAAGAGTCTGGACTCTAGATCCGAGCGAATTTTTTTTCCAGTGCGGTTATCGTTAAAATATGAGGGACACCTGAAATCCGAGAGAAACGACTTTTAAGAAGATAGGCAAATCGTCTCTCGTGGATGGGCTGCGCAAAAGCGTATTTCTTTGAAAATAGAAATCGAAAAGTTTCTCCGAAAGCGGATAGAGGTCCTATTGAGGCATGATTATTTTGAGTTTCTTTAGTTACTTGATTCCTCATGGAAATGGTACTCTCTCCAAGGATTCTAGTAGCCAGAACTAGATTTGGTAATGTGTTCATCAAGCGGCTGATAAACATAACCAGATTTCTGATTAACACTGACAGAAATCACACACAGAGAACAGAGGTACTGGTTGCTTATAAGGAGAGTCATCTATGAACAGAAATCTATTAACCACTAACATTAATTTTTATCTTTGGACGGTGGATAAAATCACCTTCGGGTAATGCAAACACTGACGTCAAGACCCATGGAACAACAATATGCCTCCGGAAGTATATTATGTGAAAGTTAGCGTGCGATTTGAAAAGGGTTTAAAACCGAGGTATGGCGGTCATATGCTTATTTTGTGGCAGGAGGAGACCGTTTTTAATTTGTGAAAAGTCTATATTTTAAACTACCCTTGCTATTTTACCGGAGTCAGCCCTGCAGTTTAACAGCCTCTTGTTCCCCAACACCATGAAATCATCGCGCGACGAAAGACCACCAAGAGGAACTCTATGAGGAAGACTGAAAAAAACGAAAAATGATCGTCGC